ACCAGCCGTCTTCAACAGGGCCCTTAGTTTAGTGGGGAAGGCAAATGTGAAAAGTTCAGCAGAGTACACATCTAAGACTATGGACTCTGGAGTCAGACCATTTGTTTTCAAAACAGTCCAGACTAAATCACTTACAAGCCATGTGACCTGGGACAAATTGCATAACTTCTTTGTTTGTCTTCAGTAAAACAGTAGAACCTAGACCATAGAGTGCTGTGAGGATGAAATGAATGAAGACACTTAAAACAGGTAGACAGTGCTTGACTCTATAATAAAAGCTCAATTAGTGTTTTCTGTTACAATTAATTAAGTGAACAGTGCAGATACATTATAACAGCAGCTACTGCAGGGAGCAGGATTGTCCAAAAGTGCCTTGGAGGTGCTTGTGTTGTTTGGACTAAGACCTAGCTGGGACCAGGATCTCATCTTCTCTCCGAGATAAGCGCTGTATCCAGGCTCAGTGCTTCCAGCCCCCCAACTGGGTTCTCTAGACAACTCCATAAACCAGTGATGCTTAAATCCAAACTTCTGGTCCAAAGCAGTCGACTAATGCCCCCTACTGAGGAGGCTGCTTTCTCACATTTTTTTTTTTTTTTTGGCTTAAAACAACAGAAATTTATTCCGTCACAGATCTGGAGGTTAGAAGTCCGTCACATTTATAATATAAGAAGGTAGAAGGAGCTCTCCCCTGAAACACAGCAGTGCCTCTCTCCAGAATTCCGTTATACGGGATGATGCAAGAATCAGGGGACCTGTGCTTCCTTTTACTGACAGGCTGCTAAGTTTCCCCAGTAGAGCGTATTCTGTAAGCCATGCCTTGTGATGTGGAATTTGCCTTTCCCTTGCCCCATATCTGCCATGTGTTGAGTACCTACTCTGGGCCAGTGTTTTAAGATGTAAGTTTTATTATTATTCAGATGTGGTGAGGACAACAGATCAGGATATGATTGCCATTGAAAAGACAGTTTGTTACTCACAGTTCTCAGAGGAGGGGGCATACCATGCCCCACAGGGCCACCGGGGGAAGAACCAAGGTTAGTCAAAAGGTATAGGGAGTGAGGGGAAAGTGGGAAGGAGCCTTTATTGTGGTTTATGTGGGAAGGAATTCGCGGGGCAAGGTAAACAGGCTTAGGATTGGCTGGTTTGAATACTTTCAGTGGGCTATTAGGCATCAGGGTTGTCTCTAATTGTCTGGTACCTGGCCCTGGGGTGATTAGGGCAGAGGAATGGTGGCCCTGGATGTGAAAGCCCATAGAGGACGTGGTGAGGGAGCGGGCTCTGGATTGGTTGATTTGCATATAAAAGGTGTGCTTGCACCTGAGTTTAGTGTCTCTAGGAATTGGCTATTCCTGTCTCTCCAGCATCAACAAGGCCCCAGAGGTCAAAGCATCAAAGATCAAAGAATAAAAAGACATGCTTAATACACCAAGCACTACTCTAGATGTTTTATGTTATTTCCAGTTCCTATAATAACACTGCAATGAAGACATTATTCATTCCATTTTTAGGAGACAAAATAGAATCTCAGGTTCAGTCAATGAGTACTGTTACACAGCTAGTAGGCTGCCCTATGATTCCAAATCATTGGGTCACCTGACTCTAAAGCTGGTGCTCTTCCTATGAGCTAAGTCACCTCCCTGCAGTATAAGAAGTGCTGTGGAGCATGTTTCAGTCTTTATGAGACATTTGACAATGTTGACCCCTGCCTCTCTGAAACTCTCTTTCCTTGACTGCAGTGATAATCATTCTTTTGTGTATATTATATATATAGCATCTACTATGTACCATGCAAGGGACTGGGTGATGGAAATACCATAGTGAGCAAAAAATGTTATGTAGCTTACGGTCTAATCATGGACAAGACGGATATTAACCCAATAATCCCACTAAAGTATATATACTGACAAAGAGAAATGCTCTGAGGGAAAGGAATGCAGTTCCCTTTAACCATGTCTCTTGTGACTCCTTGACTAGCCCAGTGTTCTCAACCCTGCCTGCACAGGAGAATCACTTGCAGAATGTTTTACAAATACAGTTGTTGGGACACTACCCTGGAAGTTCCGACTCAGGCCAGGGTGTGGCTCAGGCATCTGTAAGATGAGATGAGTGCAATCAAAGAGAGCCTCACCGTGGCAGAAGGATTTTGTTTTTGTTTTGCTTTTCCTTTTTTAAAAACTGGTCAGAGGAACAGGATCAGATTTGCAATTTGAAAAGATCACTCAACAGACTGTGCGGTATTGTGTAGTGTGACAGAAAGGATAGTTGCTGGGATAAAGATGGTGGTGGCAGAGATGGGGAAGGGCGGATTCTGGAGATAGGAAATAAAATCAATAGGACTTAATTTGCATTAAATACAGGAAGGAGTACTGAAAAGGATGGTGTTAGGGATGCTTCCAGGTTTCTGGCAGTGCAGCCAGATGGGTGTTCCTGCTTCCTAAGAGAGGATCACTGGCAGAGGAACAGGTTTGGGGTGTGAGGAATCATCAATTGATCATGGATGTGTTGAGTTTGAGGTCCTTATGAGAAATTCAAGAGGAGTTATGGTGGGAGGGAGGAGCAGTGGGTAAACAGGGCTGAAGCTCAGATGGGAGCTTTAGATCAGAGATGGATGGTAAGCAGAGGCAAGGATGAGATTGCCCAGGAGGAAGTGAAAACAGTGGCAGACTTAGGGTTAACCTATGGAACTCTGATGTAGAGGAGTATGGCCCAGTGAAGGAGATGGAGGAGGAACAGACAGTGCTTTACGGTGAAAAACTTCCCTTCAGCCACACACCCATGGAAGACAAGTTGGTGAGGCATAGTATTTATAATAAAAATTGAATAATATCACAAACATATTGAAATTACAAGGCAAGATGCATAACATACACCGGTGATTACTAAGTAAAGGACACACAATGTGATGCAGCCCTTGGTAAATGCTATGTACACATCAGTGAACAGATCTGATGATGCCTTGTCATGGGATTTCTTAAATGTCAATTGTCACTTAATAAGAATTAAAGAAATATATCTAGTATTTTTCTTACACTAAAAAATTAATGTAAGAAGAAAATATCCCCAAGTATCTCTGTGTTTAGGTAAGTGTATGTGGAACGTCTCTTAATATCTAGCAAAGCATAGCTTAGGAAATGCTGTTTTTTAGGTATCTCAGACCTAACTTTCTTCATAAATAGCTCAATAAATGATAGTCCCATCCTTTCAGCCACCAGAGCCAGCCAGAAATCTGAGTCCTTGACGTCCGTCTCTTCCAAACCCTTATCCAGTGTGTCCCTAAGTCCTGTCAAATCTCTCATCTTTATATCTCTTGGCTCCCATAGCTCAGGCCCTCATCAACTCTTGCCTGAATGGTTACAACAGACTCCTTCCCATCTCTTCTCCACACCACCCTCTGAGTGGGCGCACACACCCTCCAGCCCTTCCTATGGCCTTGGGGATCAAATGCAAACTTTGTAAAACAACCTCTCAGACCCTTGGTGACCTGGCTCTTCCTCTACAGGTTCTCACCATTCCTTGACTGTGCCCCAGGCTCTGGCCCAGGGTTTTTTTGACCCTGGCTGCACATCAGAAGTGTTTGTGGCACTTATTGAAGCCCCACCCGTGGAGATTCTGACTTAATAAGTCTGTTGTGGGGTCCATGCTCCATGGCTATTCTGAGGTCTTAGTCAGAGGTGATGGCCACTAGTCTGGCCTCTCTAAACCACCTGCAGTTTCCTCAATGGGCCACATCACTCGTACCAACTGTTCTCTTTGCCTGAATGACCTTCCTGTACATCTTCACTTGGCTGACTCATATCAGACTTTGTTGAGATACCTCCCTCAGGCCTCTCTCCCTGGTCTTAGTCAGTCATCTTTCAGGGTAGTCAGAAGCTACCTTGTCTGCTTCCCTCCATCCTTGGATTTCTCACACCGTGTTTGTCTGTTTACCTGTCGCTGTCCCATGCTAAACTAGGAGTCCTTGAGGACAGACCTTTTAATCCTGACAGGTCTATTCAGTACACCGCCTAGCACATAGCTCAAGTATTTATTGAAATAATAAATGAAGGAATCCATTTGTCTTTTCTTTGTGTTGTCTCAGAACCTTGTGACTTAAAGTTAAGAGTAATTCTTCCTGTGCATTCACCTTGGCCATTCTCCATGATCCTTTCCCAACATTTTCACCATCATTCTTAATTTATAGTATCAACCAAGATTGTCCTGGGCGTTAACCCATTTTATAATAGAAAGAGCAAGTGCTCTAGAGTTGGGCAACCCTAGGTTCATGTCCTGACTTGGCTATTTACCAGACTGGGGCCTTAGGCAAATTACTTAACGCTCAGGAACCTCAGTTTCCTCATTTATAACAGATGGGGATGATAATACGTACCTCATAGTGTTACTGTCAAGGCCCAATAAAATAGTATTTGTAAAGTGCCTGCGATAGTAGGTGTTTTCTTAAGTGCAAATTCCCTTCTTTTGGAAGGCCCCATGGCATAATAGAAAGAGCTAAATACTTTGGTTGCAGAGCCCAGTTCTGCTGCTTACTGGCTGTGTATCTTTGGTCAGTTTATGGTTCTCAGTAGCCTCATTTTGAAAATGGGCGTAATTCTGATTGTCTTTATAGAGTTGTTAGGAAAATTACGTAAAATTTATGTTAAATATCCAGCTAGTGCTTGGCATCTAGTAGGTGCTTAATAAAATGGTGATTATCATTCTGAGAAGTAATAATATACTATAGTGTTTTTCTTGCTTTCCATATTCTATAAGCACTATTTATTATCCCTAATGTTATCCCTAACATTGTTACTAAAGGTTAAATTGATTTAGGTGATATTACATTTCCTATTTCACATCCTGAAAAAATCCTGGATCATACATCTATAAATGTATCTTCCATACAGAAGCTCTCTTTTAGTCAGCTTTTTTGACAGTGCTACACTCCCTGCTGACTGGTCTTCAAAACCCTGTATTTATATTCTAAGCACATTTTCCCCTGAGTAACACTGGCACTGTCCACCTCAGGAGCTCCCTGAAGAGCTGGAGTTCAGAAGGCATCTCTTAGACACAGACCTCCATCCCCTCCCTGCCTCAACTGGGCAGCCTTTTCAGACTGTCTCTGCCCAGAATGTCAGGGAAGGCCACAGCCTTGGCCTCCCACGCTCCAAAAGAACAAGAAGGACTTATAATTGTGAAGGTTGAAGACGAGAATTATGTTTGGGGGCAGGACTTGGGCCTTCCGGGAAACGCCAGTAGCCAGGAGACCTTCCGCCAGCGGTTCAGGCAGTTGGGTTACTCTGACTCTGCTGGGCCCCGGGAGGCTCTGAGCCGGCTCCAGCAGCTTTGCCGTCAGTGGCTGAGGCCGGAGGTGCACACCAAGGAGCAGATCCTGGAGCTGCTGGTGCTGGAGCAGTTCCTGGCCATCCTGCCAGAGGAGCTGCAGGCCTGGCTGCGAGATCACCGACCAGAGAATGGAGAGGAAGCAGTGACTATGCTGGAGGAGCTGGAGAAAGAGCTTGATGAACCAAGGCAACAGGTAAGAAGTAGGTGTTTTTGTTTGCTTGTTTTACCTAATTCAAGTAAATGGGGAAGCCATTATGAGTGGCATTGACTCGGCTATCAGAGAATTATAACATTTTTGTCTTTGGGGTTATTATTTGTCCACTGGCATCAAGTCACTGAGGCTTTTAGTTCTGTTGTTTTTTGTTTTTATTTTTATTTTTTTGCTGAGGAAGATTCACCCTGAGCCAACATCTGTTGCTAATCTTCCTCATTTTGCTTGAGGAAGATTTGCCCTGAGCTAACATCCGTGCCAGTCTTCCTCTATTTTGTATGTGGGTTGCCACCACAGCATGGCTGACGAGTGGTGTAGGTCCACGCCCGGGATCGAAACCCACGAATGCAGGCCACCGAAGCGGAGTGCGCCGAACTTACCCACTAGGCCAGGGGGCCGGCCCCAGTCCTGTTGCTTTTTTTATCTAATCATGTTAAAGAGTTTCTGACTCCTCCTGCCCTGCACTCTAGGAGTTTTCCTCTTGTATATCCTTAGAATCATAGTGCTGGTACTTGATTGCTCCTAGGACACAGCTCATGGCCAAGGAATGTTCTGGAAGGAAATGACATCCATGGGAGCACTGAAGTCTCTGAGTAGCCAGTTCCAGCCCTTGGAGAACCAGTGCAAGAGTGAGACTCAGGAGCCCCAGGCTTTCCACGAGAGAGGTGAGGAGCCACAGTCCATCTTGGGATGAGGGCTATCATCTGTGGCATGGTTGATTTTTTTTAATGACAATCACCTGTGGCCTTGCCTAGAAATATTCTTCCATTGGCTCTGCCTAGAATCTGAAATGCCAACATAATTTCTAACTTTCGGTTAAGAATTAAGGTAAAATTCTCTAATAATATCCATAATATTCAAAGAACAATATTCTGTTTTTTTAATATTATGGTCCCACTGGCAAGGCAGTCCCTAAGATGGAGATGAATACTGTATTAGTAACAGAAACCACATAGTAATTTGAACAGGGAAAGTTTAATATTAATAATTATTAACTATTAACAGGGGATTAATTACTAAGTAGAGAAAAAAAACACACCCCCCTCTAAAGAATACAGGAATAACACATATAGGGAGTCTCTAGGACTGAGGCAGAGCACCCAAGGAAGGAACAGACTGCAAGAGTGTGCCACATCTTCTTTCTCCCCTGCCAGAGCTGACATCCAGATCTTGTTGCAGAGGGTGCAGCTGTAACCCACTGGATGGAGATGTTCACTGAAGTGCTGTGCTGGCAGAACTTGCTGGGAAGCTGCTCTTTGGGGTACTAAGGGAAGCCATTCATGGGGTGCTGGGGGAAGGGTGTGTGTGCTGTGATGCAGAACTCTCTGAGAAGCCACCCTCTGGGGTGTCACACCCCCCGTGGGGAGGTGCCATGACACAGAACTTGTTGGGAGGCCACCCACAGGGATAGTGCCTCTGAAACTAATTGGAGGTGAGCACTGCTGGGTGCCCCACGTGCTACAGGAACAAACAGAGCACATCAGAACCAGAAAGAAAAGCCCCTTCCTCCTCCAGTGTCCCTTCAGCCTCCCTCTACTGTTAAAGCTTGCATCATGCCAGCTGGCCAGGGAGAAATATTCCAGTATCACAGGCAGGGTATTGAAGGGTGGATTTGAAGTTGAGAGGCAATTAATTGTTAGCTGGTGCAGATGTCAAGGATTAGAACCAAAAGGACCTTGTTTATGTTATTGGCAAAATCATCCCCTGGACAGCAGGTACATCAGCCTTATTAGCTTGTTCTTATTAAATTTTTGTTACATCCAACTACCTTTCTGATTTCCTCTTCACCAAGCAATCTTATTAACTTCCCACGAAGCTTATAATAAGAAAGCGCATTAGTTCAGTCTGGTCTTTGTGATAGTTACATTACTAATTAATTCCCATTCTGGTTTTATTGTTCAGTTTCATGAGCTTGGTTAATGAGAGTTTACCCCAAGAGGTAAATCTGTTCATTGTGATGATAAAATTAGGTTTATGAGGCCACAAGCCCAAGGTCCAGACCCTGGACCTTGGCAATTCACCAAAGGAATCCATACATCTACACACTGAGGCCTCCTGGGAAACTCCCTCCTAGCCTTCCCCCACATGTTATTAGTCAAGTGAGCCCACTTAAATGTCTTCTGCATTAATCAAGGAAGAGCTACATTAAAATGGGTTTTGAAAAATCATTTCCTCAAGTCCTCTGCCTTAAAGTAGGTAAATATCTAAATCATTTAGGGTAGATTATTTCACTTCCTTCTTTTAATGGCTTGAGGAGCAGAAACTCTAATGTAATTTCTTAAATCTTTCTTGGGCTTTTTGATATTGATATTGGTTATGGGCTGAATGGTGTCCCCCCAAATTCACATGTTGAAGCCCTAACCCCTAATACCTAAGAATGCATCTATAGGGGGCCAGCCCCATGGCATGGCGGTTAAGTGCGTGTACTCCGCTGCTGGCGGCCCGGGTTCGGATCCCGGGCGCGCACCCAGGCACCGCTTGTCAGGCCATGCTGTGGCGGCATCCCACATAAAGTGGAGGAGGTTGGGCATGGATGTTAGCTCAGGGCCAGTCTTCCTCAGCAAAAAGAGGAGGATTGGCATGGATGTTGGCTCAGGGCTGATCTTCCTCACAAAAAAAAAAAAAAAAGAATGCATCTATATTTGGAGACATGGCCTTAAGTAATTCATTAAAATGAGGTTGTTAGAATGGGCCCTAAGCCAACGTGACTGGTGTCCTTATAAGAAGAGGAGATTAGGACACAATACAGACCGAGAGGAAATACCATGTGAGGACACAGTGAGAAGGTGGCCATATGCAAGCCAAGGAGAGACAGGCCTCAGAAGAAATCAAACCTGCTGACTCCTTGATCTTGGACTTTCAGCCTCCAGAATTGTGAGAAAATAAATTTCTGTGGTTTAAGCCACCCAGTCTGTGGTATTTTGTTATGGCAGCCCTAGCAAACTAATACAGTATTAAAGTTCTTCTCTATGTCCATATGAAATATTTCTAGCTTTAATTTAATTCTATTTCCTTTTATTTGTTTAGCAGAGTCCTTATAAAACACAACCTGTACTTGAAGGTAATGACTAAACTGCCCTTTGACCTTTTTTAACTAAGGCTCTCACTGCCTTTGATTCCATCTGTGTTCCATCTCTCTGATCATCTTGGCATATTTCTCTGGACATACTTTAGTTTCTCCACTTTCACTTGAAGTTCAGGGATCAAAACAAAATAAAATACTCTAATGAGGATCTGATTAATTCTAAATATAAGTAGATTCGCTTCCCAGCTATCTGTTGCACTTTATATCTTGTTGTTTGTTACTTCCCAGAGGCATTATGTTGTTGACTCAGTCACCTTATGGGCAACAGTGATTCCATCTTTCAGCCTTCCTTGGCCTTAGCAAAATTTCCTCATCCTCCATCTATGCCGGATCCCTTAAGTGTATGGTCTTGAGTGGCTTGACTGGGTTCCTGATAAATCTCATTATGCTGGGCTTTTTTTAGTCCTGAGGGTCTTAGTCAGCCCCACCTCTGAAGAATTAATGTGGATCATTTCACATCTTTCACCTAAGTCATAAGGTTTAAATCACTGGAGGGATCCACCTTGATAGGATTGTAAGAGTCACCATGTCATTTTTACAACCTTACAACCTGGGGTTATAATTTTCCTGTAGGTTCTTCACTAGCCTAACAAGACGTCTTGCTAGAAGAAGAGCCCGAGATGGAGATATGAATGCAGATGATTTGTTGAGGGTGTGCTCTTTGGGAGAAATCTGTAATAGAGTGAGAGAAATAGGATTAGGAATCCTTAGGAAGGATTAGGAATCCTTAGGAAGGATTAGGAGCAAACAATGATGTGGCCTTGGATAAACCTAGCCTTGGTCTAATCTATGGGGGTTTGGGGAGCATAATTGCACTACTGAGTTGTCACTTCTTGAGGCTGTTGGGGGGTTGGGGGAGTTGGGGCAGAAGTAACTTCCTGGGCTAGGTGGCTCTCATCAGCCAGGGCAATTCTCCAGAGCAGGGGGCAGATGTGGGTAGTTAGGAGCCAACATTCATAGCAGCTGGGGGAAGGAGGCACTGTATTGGTCAAGAGGACTTAGGTGGGCAGTGGAGCATCATCTACATAGTAGTAAGGCTTAAAGCATATTTCTCAATGTGCAATTAAAGGCCACATCTCTAGTTAAAAGGATTTTAGACCATACAGGTTATTGAACAGGTAGGAAAATAGCAGAGGGTGTATTATAGAGACGAACTCTTCTACACAGAAACCTATGGCTTATTTTTCCTCCAAAGCACCTCCTGTCATCTGTACCCCCACCCTCCAGCATCTAGACTTTAGGCTTGATTGTGAATTAGCATTCATTCTTGGAAGATATTAATAGGGTTATTTAGGTTATTTCTGTACCAGTATTCCTAAATACTCAAGTGATCATTTCTTATTCTACTTTTAATCTTTATTTGTCATTCCTAGGAATTACTCCAGTTACTGTTTATTCTGTTTTTTTGTATAATATAAATATATATTGAAAAAAGTAAAAATCTTGTTTTCCTGATCTATACATTTAAGGTCAGCGTTTTTCTCTAGTCTTGTAATTTGACTTCATGTAGTTACACAGTTTGAAGAGGTGTTTTAAATCCTAGAAGTTACCTTGCTTTTCTGATTCTCACAGCCCTAATTTGTCCCTACACAATTATTGCCACTTTATACTCTTTATAATTTGTATTCTTTATACTCTTTATAATTTGACCTATTTACTACTTTCAGAAAATTTCTCATTAGGTCGTCAGGTCTCTGACTTCAGTCAATTTGGTGCTTATTCTTCTGCCTTTATTATATGCTAATATATTTTTTTCATAAATCTTCTTTTCATAAATCTTTTCATAAATCTTTTTGAACAAGCACAGCCTTGAATAATTTAGATTTCTCTCTAAGACCCAGGGACAGTGTGAATGTTAGTGTTCAGCCCTGATCTAAGAGGCGATGCTGTCCACCTCTAATTTCTGGTGAGGAATGAGGAAAGGGGCAGCCAGACAGCCTTGCTCAGGTCATCACTGTGAGGCTTTATTGTTGTGTTTGAAGCATTGTGAACTCAGAGAATATCAGAAGTATTTCATTTCATATAAAAACATATTTTTCCAAAGCCAAATAAAAATGATTTTTCTGTTTCAGTGCAACTACAGCCCTGCTTCTTTCCAATAGGGAAGGCAGATGACATAGGGGAAAACTGCAAGCCTTGATGTGAAGTATCTTTGTTTGAATCCTGACTCTGCCAATTATTAATTCTATGGCCTTACATAGGTGGCGTAGCGTCTCTGAGCCTCAGTTTCCTGATCTGTAAAATGCATGTAAGTTTAGAGGACTTTTGGGAAGATGAAAGTAACTTAATAGTTTTTCAGATTTTCCCACCTCAAAATAATTCAGATTACATCAGCCATCACCTACTAGTCTCCTGTTCAGAGTTAGTAGAAATCTAGAACTGAGAGGGGCATGTTGTGTGAGCACTGAAGGTTTGGCTCTGGGCAGTCACATCTGCCATTTGTTTCCATCCACCTTCTTGACCATTTACCCATAAAAAAGTGAACATACAGGCCTGGCCCAGTGGCGTGCTGGTTAGGTTCGTGCACTCCACTTTGGCAGCTCAGGGCTTGCGGGTTCAGATCGGCCTGCAGACCTACACATCGCTCATCAAGCCATGCTGTGGTGGTGTCCCATATACAAAATAGAGGAAAACTGGTACAGATGTTAGCTCAGGACCAATCGTCCTCACCAAAAAAAAAAAAAAAAAGTTAACATATAAGACTCCCACCTGACCCCAGAATGAGTTAGGAACCCACAGTATTCCTTTTCTCATACTCTGTATGTCTTATTCTATTTGTTTATAATCATTTAATCAACTTGGAACCTGCCAGAATCTGCAACTGCCTTAATGCATTCTAGTTCCTGCCCACCTACCTCTGCCCAATACTAACCTCAAAAGCATTTCCTAATTGTATCTTCTGCTCTCCTACTTTTCTAGAAGCACTAGTGATTCAAGACTGTTAGACATCTTTCTTTATCATGACCACTCCTTATCACCTCTTTTCCTTTCCCTCATTACCTAAAAATACATCTTCTCTAATTCAGGATTGTCTCCCAGCTTCCTGGACTCTCACTAATACTTCATTTATTAGCATCTTATCCCTCTTCTCCAATGCTGCCTCTCATTCTTTGTCAACCTTACTCTCTCAGGCTGCCACCTTTCACTACCCCAGGCCACTTCTCTAAATTCTAGATTGGGGAGCTAGTTTTAAGAGTTTTCCTTCAAATAGGTAAATACCTATTTCATTTGGTTTAGTTTATCTTCTCTTCCTGCTATAATAGATTCCTTTCTTCCAACATGGAGAGCAAATGACACTTGCATTTTCTATTTGCATTTTTAGATGGCAAACTGGTGGCCGAAAAGGTATTGACACCAAAGCAAGAAATTATTGAATGTGTAGCATCAGCAGCCATGATATCCCCAGGAAGACTCCCTCCTTCAAGACAGATAGTTGAAGAAGCTTTGGGAGGTCTGGGCAGCTTTGAGAAGCCACGAGGGAATGCTACAAAGAACAAAGTGAGTCAGCTTCCTTCCCAGGACAGACATTTTAGTCTTGCAACCTTCAACAAGGAAATCTCGAAAGAACAGAGTGTCCTTGAATGTAATGACAGTGAAGGAAGTCTCAGTCTGAATTCAAATATTATTACACGACAGAGAATTCACACTGGGGACAAGCTCTATGAGTGCCTTGACTGTGGGAAAGCCTTTTGCCAGAGCTCAAAGCTGATTAGACATCAGAGAATTCATACTGGAGAGAGACCTTATGCATGTAAAGAATGTGGCAAAGCCTTCAGTTTGAGCTCAGACCTTGGTAGACATCAGAGAATTCATAGTGGTGAAAAACCCTATGAATGTTGTGACTGTGGAAAAGCTTTCAGAGGCAGCTCAGAGCTCATTAGGCATCGGAGAATTCACACTGGAGAGAAACCTTATGAATGCAGTGAATGTGGGAAAGCCTTCAGCCGGAGCTCAGCCCTTATTCAGCATAAGAAAATTCACACTGGAGACAAAGGCTATGAATGTATTGAATGTGGTAAGGCTTTTGGTAGAAGCTCTATTCTTATTGAACATCAAAGAATTCACACTGGAGAGAAACCTTACGAATGCAACGAATGTGGAAAATCCTTCAATCAGAGCTCAGCCCTCACCCAGCACCAGAGAATCCACACTGGAGAGAAGCCTTATGAATGTAGAGAATGTAGGAAAACGTTTAGGCATAGGTCAGGCCTTATGCAGCATCAGAGAACTCACACCAGAGTTTAACTCTGTGGGTAAGAATTGTACAATTGTGAAATACTAGGAATTCACTTTGGGGGTGAGTTTCCACAGAAGATAGAAATTTCCTGAGAGCAGAGTTCCTGTCCTTCCAGCCCAGTTCAGTCCTGTAAGAGTAGATCCACACAAAGATGTTGTGGGACGGGCACCTTCACAGTAAATCCAGGATTGGGGCAGAGATCCTGGAGGAGCTCCTTATAAGGTAGATTAAGAGGTGATGCCTCCAATGGCAAGGATCCTGCCCAGAAAGAGTACTTGTGCATTTGGCAATTGGAGGCACATGCTGAGAGTTATTTAGTTGTCTAAAATGTTCAATTGTGAGGTTATGAAATGTTGAATTATGCCCTGGATCAGTTTAGCAAGATCTGGGGAATGGTAGCTCATTCGGCCCCTTGTCAGTTCTCTCCTCAGCCCTGAGCTTCCTGCTGAGGTCAGCTGAGGTCTACTTATCTATTGAGCACCTGCTATGTACCAGCCACTGGGGGCAGTCATGGCCATTGCCCTCCCATAGTTAAGGGCTAATGAGATATACATATTTATTAAGCAGGTGTTTACAGTAAAGCATGATAAGTGCTTTTTAGTAGGATAAATCCAGGACTCTTATCTAAACACAGGGCAGGGGTACCTAACCTGGTCTATGAGTCTCTAAAGGCTGCCTGGATGTGATATCTCAGTTGAGATGGAAAAGGCAGGCAGAAGTTAGCCAGCTCAAGGGCAAGAAGGAAGAGAAGAACATTACAAGCAGAGGTTACAGCACATACAATGGCATGAAGACAAAAGGATCTGGAGACATCCCTTTATCAGGATTCTTCTCTCTGGCAGAAACTGGGTCTCATAGACCCTGGTTCAGAAGCCAGGACATGTGTTGGCTCCTCTCTTCTTATTTATAATCACTGAGTTGAATAGCCTGTCTCCGACCCAGAAGACTGGTGTGTCATATGGAAAGAGGCATGTATGCACACCAAGCAAAGGATACATATTGGAGGCTAGAGGGATGGTGGTGACTGAAGTGTTCGTGTCCCATCACCCTGGGGCCCAGGAAATGGGAAGCTGACAGGAACACAAGCGGGAATGGGAGGTCTGCCTTCCCAGGCTTCACTGTTCCTCATTCTCTGTCCCCTCCCCTCATCAGCAGGCTTGCAGATGCTAAGCTACTTGAGGACAATGAATATTTGTCAAATTGTCGAGTTCCTCAGAACTTGACTTCTCTGCTAATTTTTATTTTGGCAGTTTTTTTTTTTTTTTTAAAGATTTTATTTATTCATTTTTCCCCCCCAAAGCCCCAGTAGATAGTTGTATGTCATAGGTTCACATCCTTCTAGTTGTTGTACATGGGACTCGGCCTCGCGTTGGACGGAGAAGTGGTGCCTTGGGGCGCGCCTGGGATCCGAACCCGGGCCGCCAGCATCAGAGCGCGCACACTTAACCGCTAAGCCACGGAGCCGGCCCTATTTTGGCAGTTTTAATTAACCCACAATTAATTGCTGAGGCCAGTTTATCCCTAAGAGAAAATTTGATTCCTCTTCTTTTTTTTTTTAAAGATTTTATTTATTCAGTTTTTTCCCCCCAAAGCCCCAGTAGATAGTTGTATGTCATAGGTTCACATCCTTCTAGTTGCTGTACGTGGGACTCGGCCTCACGTTGGATGGAGAAGTGGTGCCTCAGGGCGCTCCCGGGATCCGAACCCGGGCCGCCAGCATCAGAGCGCGCACATTTAACCGCTAAGCCACGGAGCCGGCCCTGATTCCTCTTCTAAGATGTCCTGATTTCCCTTCCAGGTAGTGTTGCTTCTGAAGAAGACTTGATGATCACAGCTGTTGTGGGTAACTGGGGGCACACTCTTTGTGTCCAAAGGTTGTGGGATTATCATTGAGTGAGGTCCATTAGAAGTCTCAAGAGATCCTTCAAATGGATAGGTGCCTTTTCCTATAGGTGACAATCAGAAGATTTCATATTTTTAATATCATTTAATAGTTTTTTCCCTGATTGTGAATTAATTATAAATGTTGATAATACAGAAAATAAGAAAGTATAAATTACCTACAATCCTACCACCCACAGAAACATTGTTAACATTTTGGAGTACTTTCTATTAGTGTTTTTTCCCCCAACACTAATATTTTTGATAAAAATCTTGTTTGATAAATCATTTTTAGTAACTGATTTTAACATTTATACTTTGAGTATATACTTCAACTATTTAGTATTAGAATGTAATGCAAGATGTAATAAAATTTGAGTTTTAAAGTTTTGCTTTGATATTATTCATTCAGGAATAGGGAGCACAATAACATGAGTGGAGATGTGCTGGGAGAATGGGGGAAGGCGCTGTGGGAGGAAGTCAGGGAACTGGTGTTCTTAGGTTTTATTCTCGGGGGCAAAAAGTATCTGGAAACTGACAGTTGGTCCCTGGGGCTGCAGTTCACCAGGTGAAGTCACAAAATTGAGGGGACATCTGGGGCTGCATTGTGGTTGAAAGACCATGGGAATGAGAGCAAACAGCCTGTTTAAAAACACACGTCCTCTGTCCACCAGTATCAGGACTTCCTCCCCTTTGCGAGCAAGAGCCTGGGAGACTGCCATGGCCTTCCTCTCCTCTCCTCTCTCAGCAGGTCCTCAGTAGAAACACAGGCACAGAAAAAACTCATGACCCTTTAGATCTGTGATCATTTGTGCCAGCCAACAAGACAGCTGTAAATGATAAAGTTACTGAGTAGCAATGTCTTGTTCCGGCCCATCAGAATGCAGGCAGTGGGTGGATATAAGTGGAGTCTGCCATTGGGGCTCGCCCTTCCTCTTGACTTCGCAGAAATGCTCTCCAGGTTGGTTTCTCCTGCACGGGAAATTGTTCTAATTGGCAATCTCCCTTGCTCTGAGGATTCACTTTATGGGGCAAAAGAAGCAAAGGAGTTCACAGGGAAGCTTGGAGAGACCAAGATCATATTTGCTTTAAATTTCCAATCTTCTCAGCTGGACAGTGTTAACTGCAGCCTATGGAAATGAGGAACGAGAAGGGGAGAGGTAGGAAACTGACATTTATTAAGCACCTTGCCTAAATTACCCATTGTTAAATACGTGAATCCGTGCAAGATCAGTTAAGGCAGACATTGCTCCCCCCTGGACTGCTGCTTCTATACCAAGAGAAACAAGGGCCTTGAGCAGAAGGGAAAGGCCTGAATTACTTTTCCTCCAGCAAGGCTGTGAAGAAAACAATTACCTTTGACATCTACCTTATATCAGTGCCCCTCCACTTCATAAACACATAGAATGTCGAAGCTTTAACCGTGAGAGATCATCTCCTTCAGCTTCTTTAAACTGAGGGTCCAGAGTCATGAGGTGACTTGCTTATGGCTGCAGGATTCATGGAAAAGCACTAACAAGAACAAAAGTATCCACTACAACGCTATGGCTTTGCTCAACTATGAATCTACTTCATGCAAATAACTTATACTTGCACACAGGATTTATAATTTGCAGAAGACTTTTTTGTATACTAGTGTGAGAAGGGTACATCTGCCATTGTCATTTACCAATGAGGTAATCGAGGGTCTGAGTTAACAAATTAGCTAATCTCTTAGGACTTGGAAGGGACAGAGATGCTATGGAAAGCATGTGTTTTTTTGGTGTGTGTGAGGAAGCTTTGGCCATGAGCTAACATCCATTGCCAATCTTCCTCTTTTTGGTGAGGAGGAAGATTAGCTCTGAGCTAACATCTGTGCCCATCTTCCTCTATTTTGTATATAGGATGCCCCCACAGCATGGCTTGATGAGTGGTGCGTCAGTCCGCACCTGGGATCCAAACCTGCAAACCCTGGGCCGCTGAAGCAGAGCATGCGAACTTAACCACTATGCCGCCAGGCTGGCCCCAGCATGTGCTTTTCTTAATATTTGCTGACTATCGTGGGCTTCCATTCCCTTTTTAACTTTTTCTCTAATTTTAGAAGTTTTAAATATTGTAGGAAAATTTGGTAAACATAGAAAAAATTAAATCACCTCTAATCTTATCACAAGATAAGCAGTATAGCACTTTGAAATTATATATTTCCAGTATTTTTAATGCATAAATATATTTTTTACATGGAATCATATTGTACATATCATCTTAAATTTTTACTTATGAATGCTTTGTCATCTTTCAATATTAATCAACATCACTTTTAACAGCTTTTAAGACTTTGTATACATTCATGATGGTTTCTGAAGCATACAGTTCCAGATAGAATTTTAAAGTCAAAAGGCAATGCTTAAGGCTTCTGGTATTGATTGCCAGATAGTATCTATTCACATCTCACCAGCAGCATTAGTGTCCCAATTTCCCTGAATCTTTGTTAACTTTATGAGGGAAAAAAAGTGCCATCTCAACTCTTGCTCTAATACACATCTTTAATTCTAGCAAGGCTGAACATTTATTGTCCATTGGCATTTCTTCTTTTGTGATTTGCCTACTTAAGTGCCATTTTTCCTATTGGGACTTTTTCATGGGGAGACAGTATAGAGAAGTGGCTCCAGAGGGTTCTGGATTCCTACCGGCTTCAAAGTCTGACCTCACCACTTTTTAGCTATATGACATTGAGTAAGCCATGACCCTAAGCCTTCAATTCCTCATCTGCAAAATGGGCTGTAGTGAGATAACCAACACATATATACAAAGCCCTTAGCAACTACTTATTACTTTCTTATCTATAAATGCAAGAACTCTATAGAAAGCATCCCTTTTGTAATATGTTGTGTCAATTACTACTTAATGTTTGGCCTACCCTTTTCACTTTGTTTGGGTCTTTCTCTGTGGATAGAGGAAAATAACAGTTGAACAGCTCTTACTGCCTTATTTTGTTACATTTTACCATCTTTTCTGAATGATCCCTTTCTTTTTTCACACTCTCTCCAAGCACAGACATTAGCTCTTCTGCCATTCTTACTGGTTAGTACATGCCCAACAGGAGCATTACTTCTTTTTATCTTCAAGAAAATTCTTTTCCTATGCACAAGATTCTAGATTTCCATAATTTATTTTTTTGGTAAAGTGTGTTATAACTCCAACCCATTAGGTATTTTGAATAAGTTTTTCTGCTGCTGACTAACCTACACATGTTTCCACCTTGCACTCAGAAGCACCAGTCTAAGGATACTTTTCCCACTGGGTCCTTCAGAAGGTAGTCTCTGAATGGGCCATGACTGTTATTTTCTGTGGTCACTTCCATTTAGCATTATCTTTAACAAAATTCACAAGACTGAAACACTGCTGATATAAGACAAAACTGAACATGTGCAAGGTGCCTGGAGAATAACAGTCACAAACCCAGCACCAAATATTTTTGACCACATGAGCCCAAAGGAATATACTAGGAACTGTGGGGTACAGCCCCAGAAACAATGATACGGCAGCCATAGCAACTTCTGACCCAGAGCCTTGGGAGTGAGGAGGAATCTGACAGCAGCCCTGATACTGTCTTAAGAACCAAAGGAGTCCTTATGTCTGTAAGAGGGAGACTTAGAACTCTAACAGACTCTTCATCTCTAGCCTGGGCTCTTTCTCACCCCCTATCCCTACCCCCATGGAGGTTCTAGCCTAGCTTGTAGACTGGGCAAGGAAATGAGCTTCTCTTACAGACATGACTCCACTTTAAAGGAACTCAACAGGAATGCTCCACACAAAGCAGCCATTTACTTTAACTTCCAGACGTGCCAGACTTTCTTCCTGGCCTTTGTTGTTCCCTCTACTGGGAACAATGTTCCCTGGCCTGCCTACCTCCTTGGCTAACTCCTACTTATCCTTCAGATCATTCTTCTCAGAAGCCTTCCCTAATCCAAGGTTGGGTCAGGTACTCCATGTCACATAGCACTGATCATTCCAGTGTCACTGCCTGTTTGCCTTGCCCATTAAACTGCAGAGATTATGTTTTCCATTGTATTCCTAGTGCTTGGCACAAAGCAGGCACTAAGTACTCAAAAAAATAACTTGGATAAATTAATTTGTATTCTTTTTTCTACCTCATTTCTGGCCTGCCCTGGGCTCAAGAAATTACTGATAAAACCGTTTCCTCATGTCTTGCTGCCCTGTCACTGTTCTTAATTGGTCAGTAAAATTTTTGAGTTCCTGGGACAAAATGTCCCCTACACTGTCCATACCATCCCACAAACTTGGCACACTGACAATAAGATGCAGTGACAGAGCCTGGGTTGTTGGACCTTCTTCATGACATTCTTATGGAAAATGAGG